TGACACATGGACGGACCCTCGAGACATTAAGCTAGATGAAGGAAGCCAGATACCAAGGACCATGGAGCATGGGATTCCATTTCTATGAAGATGTCCAGAATAGGCAAATCCAGGGAGATGGCAGGTAGATTAGTGGTTGCCAGTGCTGGGGGAGGGGGAATGGGGAGTGACAATTAACGAGTATGGGATTTCTTTCTGGGAGTGATGAAAATGTTTGGAATTAGATAGTGGTAATGGTTGTACAGCTTTGCAAATATACTGAAAACCACTTTAAAAGGGTAAGTTTTATGATATGTGATCTATATCTCAATAACAAATGTTTAAAAATGTATCAAGGTCTAGCAACCTGATAACCTGATACCAAGAGAGGATTTGGATGAGAAGGAAAGCTTTCCTCACAAAGCAGAGCCATCCAGAGCAGCCAGCTCTGCCTGCCTCCAGGCATCCGACACCCCTGCTGGGCCACAGGCCACCCTGGGGCTGAGGGACACAAAGATGACTAAGACATGTGCATTCTGGGGGAACTGCGCATCAGCGCAGCAAGGGGCACTCCCGCTAATGACCCCAAGTAAGTCATCATGAAAAGCTTACATTATTTTCAAATGCTTAGTTTAAGAAGGCAGAGGAGTGGGTCACAGGTAATAAATTTATATAAAAAAATTTCTTTCAAAATCACCAATCTTTTAAAGAAATACGAATATTCTGATGTTGAATTTCAGTTAGCTAAAGATCATGCATGTGGAATGGCTCATTTCGCAGAGAAGCTGGAGAGTGAGATGCTGCTGTATCCGTCTCCCTCGATAACCCCAGGGAGCACGGATGCCCAGTGTTTCCATCTCCCGGGCATCTGGGATCTCGTGGCAACTGCACCAGTTGTACTAATGTTTGTTATTTCCCTGAAAAACTCCATGTGCCTCTTACCCCGAGGGCTGGGAAGAGCCCTAAGCTACAGTGGAGGGGAGGGGGTGCCGAGAGAGGGGCCATGCTTGGGACAGCTGTGGGAGTCCTGGCTAGACCTGCCCTGTCACCAGGCTCCCTGTCACTGTTTCTTCCTCAGTGAGTGGGAGGCACGTGTGCGCCTGACCTCCACAGTAAGGCTGGGCAGACTTCGCTGGCAGGGACGTATCCACTGGAGTTTTCTGGGTGGAGGAAACGGGGCAGGTGCGAGGTGAGCACATCTTTGAATGCTGTTTCTCAGAATGTAGGAGCTATGCACCGTTATGAACCACTGCCTCTGGCGGACAGTTGTGTCCAGGGGCGGCTTAAGAGGGAGGCTCGGGAACAGAGGGGGAGGAGAACTGAAGCCCTGTTTCAGCTTAGCATCAACCTGGCGGACGTGGATAAGCCCCTTAGCTCTAAATCGCCATTTCCATACTCAGGCTACTGCAAGGGACTCTAGGTTCCGGCTTGGGACAGGCTTTGGGGCACTTTTTGGGAGACTAAAGGGCCTGCTTTTTAGAATAAACATTTAGGAGTTTTTAAAGACGTAAGTTCAAACTTTCTACTGGAAAGATACACTTAAAGGGGAGACCCCGCTCTGGCGTGGTGGCTTTCCACTGCGGCCACACTTGGTGGTGCCCAGGGGTTGAGACCAGGAGCTGGTGGCCCGTGTCTTGACTGCTGGGAGACTATAACCAGGCTGAGTGGGCTGCGGGAGCAGAGGGATGGCGGTTTCTTCACGGGGAAGCGAGTGGCAGTGAGGGAGGTGCCTGGGTGGTGTCACAGTGACAGCACTTCCAGAGACGAGTGGGCAGAGAGGCAAGTCCTCGGCCTGGGGTCCAGCCTGAGCTCTGGAGTCTGCTGTTCTTTTGGCTGGAAAGAGAGGGGCAGGATGGAGTGAAAAAAACAGCCAAGAGCCCTAGTATGGCCACCCAGCCCTGCTTACAGCCAGCCCTCCTGCAAACCCCTACAGACGGAAGGAGCCATGTATCAGTCAGGCTCTCATAGGGGCACAGAGACCCTCTCAGGTCACCTTCAGTAATGGGGTTTTACTGGAAGGATAGTTCTGGAAATCGGGAGGCCACCAAGCCTCAGGGCTCCATAGACACTGAGGACAGGCCGGCTTCCAGGAGTTTGGAGCAGGATTCTGGGTCTCGAGCTGCTCTGGGATCTGGTGACTCCTCCGCCCGCTGCTCGGCTCTGCGCTCCTTCGTCCCTGCCTGCTCTGACGCCGCCACTCTCTGCCGGCATGCGGGTCCTGCTTATCCCCGGCTTCTGCCACTTGCGGCTTTCCTCTTGGTGTCTTTTAGCTTCTAGTCACATTACCAGTTGCCTTTTCTCTCGCAGTCAAACTTCTCAGAAAGAATTTGGTTAGACCATTGTCACCATGGCCCCTGTTAATAGCCACTTTGCTGCTAGGCTGCCTCCTGGTCACTGGCTGGCCAAAAGACGGGCTGTCCTTAGGTCAGAGCCCAGCCCTGGTCCAGTGAGCTGCAGGTGGCATACCAGGACCACACCTGACAGCCTTGTCTCCTGTGTGGAAGGAGACTGTTGGTGTTGGTGGCAGGGTGGCAGCGTGTGTGAGGGGGTGAAGGGGGTAATGGCAGATCTCCTGAGATGTGGGGCCTGAACTTCTGTCCCAGCCATGAGAAATAGGAAGCACTGGGGGTGCTGTGGAGAGATGCCACGGGCCCTACAGCATGCGTGGGAGACACCAGTGCCCAGAGGCCCGTCTCCCGAGCCGGACCCCGCAGGGTGCAGTGGTGGGCTGAGGGGCACTGCCTCACCCCGACTCTCCCTCGCATCCTGTTTCTGGTTCTGTAAGTGAGAACAAGAGAAGGTGAACAAGGAAGGGTTTGCAGAGCTCTTTCTGGCTCCAGGAGATGCTGTGCAGATTGCCATGAGAAATGGGGCTCACTGGGCCCGTTTACCCAACACCTCAGCTCATCCCAACCTCTTCCTTTTTATGCTAAACTTAACATTTCCAACTTTCAAACAAATATTTGGAGCCTAGCAAATGCTTAAATTTTTGATAAATGGATGAATGGATGAATAATGAAAGCATGAATTTGCCATCTGTCCTTGAAGGAAAGCCAGCTAGGAGAAGGTCAAGGTGCCCCTCTTTGGTAGAAGAAAGGCCCAGCTTTGAATCCCGGCTCTGCCACTTGTAAGCTGTGTGACATCGGGACAAGTTACTTAACTTCTCTGAGCCTCCCTTTCCTCAGCTGTAAGATGAGGACAGTGCCTGCTTCAAGGTTCTTTGGGAAGTCCAAGTGACCGTATATTTCCCAGCACGGGTCTGACACAGAGGGCCTGGTTTTGAGAGCCGTACTTACTAGGCTAGCTCAAGGGGACCAGCAGGTAGCAGCGGCTCCTTTACCATATGTGGACATGGGTGCACAGGACCATTGGGAAATGGACCTCTTGGCTGTGACTGTGGAGAAGGGAACATGAAAGGCAGGTCCAGACCCCAGTGGCTTGTCCCATGTTCACCTCCAAGGGAGTTAGTGAGGCTGCAGTGTGGGGACTGAAGTATTGGTTCCAGCCTGGGCTAGGTGAAAAGTCTGGCGGGCGGCTGTGTCCCAGAAGCCAGACCTTGGGAAAGAGTGAGGAAGACCAGGTCCAATATGAGGGTACCACCACCAGCAGTGCCAAAATCTACACAGAGTAAACGAAGGCTGAGAGTCAGAGACCAAGTCGGTGGGTCAGTTTGGGGGCAAAAGCCAAAAGCCAAGAGCCAGCAGGATTGGAGAACAGGAGGTCCTGGGATGGGAGTGGGAGGGACTTCTGATTCAAGGGTGGGAGCATCTCCACGTGTCTACCCCTCACTCATCCTAGAGGCAGCTCTGGAGTCCAGAGTGTGCCGGCTTGTTGCCAAGCAGGCTATTGCAGACCCAGTCTGTGACGCAGTGCGGACAGGGGAACCTCCAGGCGGGGAAAGGCACGGGTTCCCAGAGAAGCTCCAGTGAACAGCTGACTGCGGCTGTGCGTGCTTCTGCACCGGTTGGGGCAATGCTGCCATAATCAAGAACGTCCGTCACTCCAGTCAAACTCCCCCGCTGCCTCCTCGCCACCTAGCGCCGCCCCACCTCTTTAGGCTGATGTGCCTATCTCTTGCATCCCAACTTCCTGTCCTTGCAGTTCTGTCTTGTGACCTTGGAGCCACACGCAACATCAAGGACTCAGTCTTTCCATTTCCTCCCAAGACTCCCAATAAGTCCCCTTGTGTCGTCACTTGCTTCTCTATGACCCAGGTTTCAACCACTCTTGTACCACTTCAGCTCCTTGGCCTCATCACTGTCCATTTCAGCCATCACAGAGGGGTGGACCTTGACTCAGTCTAGCTGGATGCCTTCTCTGCTCCTACCTGGGGTGGCTGAGAGGTGCTGAAGATCACACAACCTCTTGAATTTAGGCCAGCACAGGATTCCCAACCTGCGCTTAGTCCTCGGTGCTGCCCCAAAGTCCCTCCCTGGTCCCTGGCCAGCTTTAAGTCCTGCCCCTGCAGCAGCTATGACAACCCCTCGCCTGGCTCCTTAAGCTTTCTTTCCTACTAACTCGCCCCTCCCTAACGTCAACTCCCAGCAAGCTCACCTCCTCCTTCAAGGTAAAAGTAAAGTTCCTTACGGGAGGACCTGCCTCACTCTCTGGCCCTCCTGTCCCCTCCACCTGGTGGCTCCTCCAGAACAAAGGTCGGCAGCCCATACTTTTGAGTAAAGCTCACACTCGCCCACACGTCCATGCACCCTGCCGGCCGCGCCTTAGGGAGCCTGCTCCATGTATGGTCCTTCTCTCACAGCCTGTGTCTTTCCTCACTGCCAGCTCTTTCTCATGAGCATTTAAACATGCTCCTGGTTCTTTCCATAAAAATTACAACAAAACCCTCTTTCAACGCTGGGTCCCTATGAAGTATGACCCATCACTGCTCCTCTTTACGGTCAACGTTCTTGCAAGTATGGTCTGCAGAGCTTGTGGCCACAGCCTCCCCTCGAGGCCGTTCGCATCTCAACCCGCACAGTCTGGACTTCACAGAGCCCCCTCGCACGAACGTTCCGTGCCACTCCTTCGGCTGAAATCACCGCTGACCTCCAATCATAAAGCCCACTGGACACTGCTTCTCAGGCCTCAATGCCTCGAAGGCTCCTCGTGGATGCCACTGACCACACACCCCCGAGCTGCTCTCCTGCCTCGACTTCCCCAACAGTGCTGTCTCCTGGTTTTCCTTCTGTCTCTCTAGCTGGCCTTTTCAGTCTCCTCCCTGAGATCCTCTTCCTCTGTCCACCTCACTGAAAAATTAGGGTTTTCCAGAGTTCCACGTCTTCTCTGCTGTTCCCTGTCACCACGTTCTCCTTGGGCAAGCTGATTCTCTTCAAGTCTTCCAATGCTACTGTGATGCTGATGACTGCCCCAGTCTGGCAGGATGGAATGGAGGCCCCGCTGGGTGTCTTTCCTGAGGACCAGATCTGTGTAGCCACGTGCCAACTGGGCATCTCCTCTTGGCTATCCCCAAAACTGAATTCCTTCCCTCATCCTCCACCCTGCTCTTTCTCTTTTATTCCCTGTCTTGGTAAATATTGTGTCCAACCAACCAGTTGGCCAAATTAGCCATTATGTGAGGCCCAACTCTGACTCACCCCACTGGGGGCTCTCTCTGCTGCCCCTACTTATCTTTGGTGCTGATTCTTCTTTACGCCCACACTTGGCCTTCACCAAGCTCGGCTGACTCTACCTTCTTGCTGTCTGTGGAGTTCTTCCTTCATCTCCGCTGCCAGGACTGCACTCCAGAGCCCATCGTCCCTGCTGGGGTTTATGCAGCAGCCTCCCTGCCTACTCTCTTGGCCTTGGCTTGTGGGCCCTCCCACAGCTGCATTCTGCACACAGTCGCCAGAATGAACTTCTGAAAATGCAAATCTGCTCAGGCCATCCTCCTGCATAGAATTCTTCAAGGTTTCCCCCATGCCTTCAGGATAAAGTCCAAACTCCTTAGCAGGGTGTCCAAGGCCCTTCCCATCCTGTGGTAGCTATGAGCATGACAAGCAGGACTCAGACTTGTGTTCCAATCCTGGCAGCATTTTTGCTGTGTGACTTTGAGGAAGTTACTTAACCTCTATGAGCCTCCGTGTTCTTATGTATGTAATGAGGGTAATGTGACTATTTCACGGGGTGCCATGAGGATAAAATGAGGTAACGTACATCTTTGTTTTGTATCTTTTTATCTCTAGCAAAATGCCTTGCTATTGCAGGCACGCAGCAAACGGGACCACTGTTTCCTCTCCCAGCACACTCCCAATTCAGCCTCCTGCCTGGTGGCTGTCCCCTGGTGCCCTCTGCCCTGGCCTCTTGAGCTGCTGTCCTCCCCCAAGACCTGTACTCACTTCCTTGTCTCCACCCAGGTCACACTGGGGCAGCCCCTGGGCCCACCCCATTGACATCCTCCTCTTTCCTCCACTAACTCTCATAACTGTTTAGGGTTCTCCGCAGGAATCGCCTGTTGGAGGTTTCTCCTGAGCTCACCAAGACTGGCCGCTGCTCCTAAATGCTTCCGGTGCAGCTTCCGCCCTTGTCAAGGCCCTCACCTCGGCGCCCTGCGGTGCCCATCTCTCTCAGGCGCTCCCTCCTGGGCTGGGATGCCCTCGAGGGTAGGGACCATGTCTTACTTATCTTTATATCCCTAGTACCTGGCAAGGAACCTCAGGCACCAACAAACTCAGACACAGAATTCCACTCAGGCGGTACTGGAATTCTTGCTCTTATTGTGTGTTTGTTTGTAAGACTCTCATTCTTGTTTATTTTTCTGTTCCTTTTGGGAGTCGGGCGTCAGCCCATCAGATTGTAGGCTCCCTGAGGGCGGGGCTCCCTGGCAGAGTGGTGCCCTGTAGAATTAGCACCCAGGTCACTCCCATCACATCCGGCTGACGGCCTGGCCTCTGGGAGAAGGGAAATGTAATGGGAGGAGACTGGATTCTCATTGCATCTTGTACACATCAAACCTAGTGGCCTCGGAGGGTCCTGGGATGTCTCTGAGTACCGGGGTGGTGGTGGTCATGAGAAGTGGCGTTGGGGGCCAAGGGACAGAAGAAATTTGAGAGAGGAGATGCAGAGCAAGGTCCTGGAAGACATGCATGCTTTCTTATTCTTATTCTGGTTGGCTGGGAGAATTGCCGACATTTGCCCCAGGGACTGTCAGGCAAGGACTGACCTTGGCCACCAAACTGGTTTTAGCTTTTGTTTTAAAATCAGTTCGTCAGCGCCTGTGAATGTCACTTTCCATCAGTTCAAGAGCGAACCTGCCTGCTTTCAGTTAGAGGGACCCCCGGGGGGTTCTTCTACCTAATGACCTGGGTTGAGCTTTCTTGCCAGCTGTCCACCCCATAGGGTCCTTACGTCTGAGGAGTGCCGCCACCGTCTCCTGAGTCTTCAGACATTGCTGGGGTAGTCATTGCTCTTGGTCTCTAACAGAAGTAGAGACAGATTGCAAGCAAGCTGCAGACATGTTTCCACCGCCGACCCCCATTCGTTGTCCTGCAAAAGCCCAAGTGGCGGCTGTTCCTCCTTGCCCCGCTGATGAAGACAGCTTGCCTTCCTCCCAGGTCCCAGCAGCTGGCGTCTCGGGCTGCCCTTTCCTGGGGAGGGAGAGGTGCTGGCAGCCACTGTGTTCCCTCCCCTCCCAGAACCTGGCGCCCCCAGAACACTCTTGTTATTGATGCTCTCTCGCTTCCACGTCCTGTGGGTGTACGATGTGTGTAGAGGAAAGGGGCTGAAGGGGAACACATTTTGTGCCTCAGGAGAACTTTTCTGCCTTACAAAGGATCTTAGTTACCTTTTCAATGTCAGAGCCTTTAAAGTCGGGCTTCTGATAATTTGCTAAGGAGTGGGCTTGGGCTGGGTGCTCAGCAGAGCTTTAGGAGTCATATGCTTTGTTTAGTAAGAATCTAGGCATCTTTATAGAGGGAAGACCTCATTTAGCTAAGTGGTCCTAAGACCGAGTTTGATAAAGGCTCCTTTATCCTCCCTCCCAGTACTGTGAGCTTGCAGAGCAGAGGCTCAAAAGGCTTTCTGGCCCTAAGGGAGCCCAGCAAGTCGCACGTAGGGAGCTTGAGCTAGCAGTGGGAGTGGCTTAGGTTAGACACACATCAGCACTCCTTGCTGAGGAGTCAGGGTGTTTGGAAATGAGGGAGGCCGTAGCTGTTTCTCCAGAGGCCTTTTGAAAAGGCTGAGCTCTCATCTATGGGGAGTGGCAGGAATGTGGGCCTGTTGGGCGATGGGGGACGAAGCCCGCTGGTCTCAGGGAGACCATTTCTTCAAGTCTGGCTCTCGGTTTGAGTTAGGTTTTGCTGTTGGCAGGTATATAAACAGCAAACCAGGGAAGTGCCTGTGAGTTGGTCTGCATATATATGGAAGGTCGCTGGCCCTGGAGGCTGTTAGACTAAAGCTCCACCGTGTCTGTTAGCACACACGTGTTCTCTCTTCCTCTCCCATCTCTCTCTGGGATGAGGAGCTTTCTCAGTGTTGTGCAGGGAGGTCATGAGATGGGGCAGACCCAATGTGTCCCTGCAGAAAAGCTCTCGCAGGCAGAGTCCTCTCCAGCCAGGCTGAGTGGATGGTGAGCTGAGGGCTGCCTCCCCGGAGCACAGACAGCAACCTCTCAGACTCTCCTTCCCGCCCGACAAAGGGTCTGCAGCTGTGACAGCTTCCGGGCGTGAGCATCCAAGCATGCAGCAGGACTGTGAGCTGGAGAGGGTCCACACTTCAAGTCTGTCTGCTTGGCGGATGGTGGAGGGAGGAGGTGTCTTAAGAGCTGGCCCACAAGGCCCACCGAGGTCTTGGAGAAATCAGGCAGCATTTTTAAGAGAATCAGCATCCTGTATTTTTTTCCTTTTTCAGAAGCTTATATTTGTAGGGTCAGCCTGGAATGTAACTGACTATAGGTGAGAAGAAACTTTTCTTATGGTCCTGCTGGAAGTGAAGAGGAAGCTACGGGACGGGTGGTAATGAAGACTGGGGCTGCAGTGGTTTATTTACAAAGCTTCCTTGTTGTTCAAAAATTATTTTAAAAAATCCGCTTCCTAATCTTCCTTCAGAACAATGAAAGGCAGTAAGCCTAGAAATAAAAGTTAGAGGCAGGGATCAGAACTGAGATGCGTTTGTTCATTCATTCGTTCAACTAGTGTGTATCAGCACCTTCTGCGTGCTCAGCACTGGTCTGGGCATAGAGCAGGAAACAAAATAGAATATGTGACCCTGTCCTCTGGGAGCTTACAGGTGAGCGACCAAGAGGCGTGGCCAGGTGGTGGCTGAGCACCTGAGCCACATGGAGGGGGGAGGCGGTCAAGAGCTTTCTTCATGCATTTGATTTGACATGGAGTGCCCCACATGCCTGCATTTTCTTCAGTGGATATTCTTCAAGTTCTGAAACATTTTATTTAAACACTTTTGACGGAGATCTTGAAAGACTACCCTCCTCCGTTTTAGAAAACAGAATCCACAGCACACAATTTCCTCTTTTTCAATGGTGTGGTCCTAACTTGACCTCTCCTGGGATGCCCCCACCTTGTCTGGTTGTTGGTGCTTCTCTCTTCCTGACCACTGGCAGTCATTTCTCATGGTGTCAAGTCCTAGCTGTTCTCGCTGCTACTGTACTCTAATTGGCTGTGACCGTTAAGAACTGAACATGGACTCCAGGAACAGGAGAAGTATTTTTGTCCAATGAGCAAGCTTACCTTGTATTCAACTTCAGGGTAATAAGCTTTGCCTTGGTGGTTGGAGTGCTGCATGGACAATGTCATAACTGTTCTCCCTACTTTTCTGAGAGTGATTTCCTTCCCTTAAGCTGTGTTCTGCATAATCACAGTTGTTGGATGTAACTTTTGGCTAAAGTAGGACACAATTCTACAAGATGAGGTGTCAGAGTGACGCTGTCTATAATGCTGCTGAGAGTTTAAAGGGAAAGAAGATTCCTCATGGGCTGGGGGGCCCCAGGAGAGCTTTCATGGGAATGGGAGTTAGCTAGACCCTGAGCACAGGACAGGGTGGGTCTTGGAGAGTTGAGGGGCCACACTGAGAAGGGGTAGACTGAACTCTCCAATGGAGTTGGAATCTTCCTTATATGAGGATCAAACCCTGTGAGATTGTATGTGATGCCACACCGTCCACCTTGCCAGCCCATGCAGGGACTTGCTCCACAGAGCCTCGGCTCGGCCCCTCCATGTCTGCGGGAAGCCACAGCGCCTTTGCTGGCTGTGACTGCTTCCCAGATTGTGAGTGTGAATTGCAGGACAGAAACTTGTAGCCTGGCAGAAATTTCACTCAGATGACATAAAATGAGACTATCACTGAGCATCTTTGTGTAGTTCAAAGGCAGCGGAGGAAGAGGATTAGTTTCATCTCCTTCATGTGCTGTCAAAGACCCATCCCCTTCTCTGGAATCCAAATTTTCCTAGTACTTCAGGAGAGTTACAAAGTTGTACTTGAAAGCAGGAGCCACCAATGGGTATTAGGTCCTGTGGGCATCTGTTATTAATGAAAAACATTAGTCTTTTTTCAATTTACCAATCTTTGGAAAATCTGGGACAATAGGGAAAGGCATGGGCAGCTATGCAATTGGAGCCTGACTAAGATCCTACTCTCTGATGCCAAGTTCTGCATCTGCTTAAAATGGAGGGGAGGGGCATGTTGAAATCAGTCACTAAGCCATGAATCAACAATTATTTTTCAATGTAGAAGATTTTTAAATAAAATTTACAGCAAGGCGTTAGAATCCATTCATTCATTCAACAACTCTTTATTGAGAATATATCTTGTCTTTTGGTTCAAGATGAGAGATTAAGTAGAATTGACAATATCACCCTTCCATCCAAAATTCCAAGAAATGACAGAATATATACTTTGAAAAATATAAGCAGTGCTAGGAAACAAGGAAAGATGTCCTTGGTGCATTAGAAACTGAGGAATCCATGAAGGATGGAAAGTAGTCAAGATCAGATTGATGAAGGAAGCCACAGCTCCAAATATCCTGATAGAAGGATTGCTAAAAATGTGTCCCAGGCCTGGAAGTGGCAGATATGGGGCAGAAGGAAGCCCAGAATACATGACAGGGGAAGTAGTTGGGGTTAGCAGCAAGGTCAGGCAGGCAGGTGAATCCTTCCATACCTCTGCATTTGGCCCCTCAGGGCAGGCAGTGGGCCCTGGAGAGGGTCTGGATGCTTGGGTCAGGGAGGCAGAGTGGTACTCCAGGTGGCTGACACAACCCAGGAGGAAGATTCCCTCTTCTATACTCTCTACTGGCTCATTCTACCAACAGCAGTCACCTTCCTTTGCTTATGCTGGACAGGCTGAAGTAAAACCTGCCCCACAGTACGTCTCACTCTTTCCCTCTGTTGACCAGGTTGACATGGACTTTCTGATACAAAAATGAGCATGTAACCAAGATTCACCAAAAATGTGTGGAAAACTAATACTGTGCAAAAGGTACTGAGTGCAGTAAACAAGAGTTTATATGCAAACAAATGTTAATAGTATAAACAGAATAAGACTTTTCTGGAGCCTTTGGGATAAGGATAGCTATTGGATTTGTAAAAAATCAGCCAGAGACCTTGGAAACTTAAAATGTTCACAACAGAATTTAAAAACTGAAAAATGGGCTGGACCAGCAGAGTGGACATAACTGAGGAGTAAATTAGATATGTCCTCAGATGAAACTGAGGAATTCTCTTATGTCACCTAAAAGGATCATGAGATGGAAATAGAGAAAGAGAAGTTGAGATATGGAGAACATATTCAGATATGTTGGCATCTGTCTATAAGAAATTTCAGGAGGATAGAATGGATGGAAAGGAGAGAAGAAAATAGAAAAGAAATAATACAAGAAAATTTACAAGAAGATAGAAAAGAAACAACATATGGCAAAAATCCAAGTTTAAATAGGATGACCAAGTGTCAAGTAGGATGAATGAGAAAAGACCCATAACTAGATACATCGCAATAATAAAGTTAAAGGAACGCTACTAAAAAAGAAAGAAAGGAAAACTTCTCGAGAGAGAGAAAGATGATCTAAAAAGGAACAAGAAGGAGAGTGACAACAGACCTCTCGCTGGTAATACTGGATGCAAAAAGGCACTGGAACTGTATGCACACAACTGTGGGGGTGTAGAAGTCTCAAGTGTGCAGGTGGAAAAGAGTCATTTTGGACATTATGGACCCAAAGAGTTTACCGTCCACTGGCTTCCACTAAAAAAAATTACTAGAGGTCATAAAAAAGCAAAATAAAAGAAGTGGGAGTCAAGAACCTACTTTTTGCTAACTGTACATGCTTCTGTCTTAGATGGAGCAAGGCAGTCTCAAGTAGTTCACTCCTGGTTGAGGAAGACATCATCTCCCTAAGACAACTGGCGAGATAGAAGCCACTGTGCACACACAAGGTCTCTTAATCTTGTGCTGTCCTTGCAGGTTCACTGTGTTAAAGTGTGGGGTGGGCCTGATGTGTTGGCAATGCTCCCAGCCCTCATGCTCTCAATCCTCGCAGTCCTGTCCAAGCCCTCGCTTTCGTCTCTGGAGCCTAAAGTGCTGTGGCTACCTGGCTGGGGTTGCCACCATCCCATTAAACGTTTGCTATCTCTTAAATTCTCAAATCCATCCCATGATTGTTCAGAGGGGATGAAGCTGGGGAAACTCTCTCTCTCCCCGGACTTACGCTCTGGATTGCAGTAACACACCTCTGTGGCTCTTTCTGATGGAAAGCAGGACAACGGCAGACTTAGATCCAGCTCAGAACGTCGGGTGTATGCCCAGCTGAACAGAGGGCAGCATGGCCTGGGCCTCTGAGGACTCTGCCCAGTGGCCTGGCAAGTTGCGACGCTGCCAGCTCTGCTGGATGGAGGGGGAAGACCAATCAGGAAGAGGCCCTGAGAGCCTTGGGAAGGAAGGAAATAGAAATTGTTGTAGGAGGCTCGAGGTGGCAGAAGTCCAGGCAAACCCAGAAAGTGCTGCTTTGGGAACCCTCCCGGTGGGTGTGAGAGGAGCCGTGAAGGGTTGCCCTGCAGGGCCCCAGAGCCCGAGGCAGGCACGTCAGGCTCTGACGGGGAAGTGGTCCAGATCCTCTGGCAGGCCTCGCCATGGAGGAAGGTTCGGAAGCTCCTTAAAAATTCACATGTTATTAAAGTAATTTTTTCCCCTCAAATGTCCTTCCTCTGCATAATCATGTTTGAGAAAGCCAAGTGGGGCTAATGTTCCAGGCATGAGTTTGTGCCTCCCTGGAGGCCTCTCCCGGTCAGGGTCTGACCTGGTCCTCTGTGGAGGGGAGTCTTTCTTGATTCTTCACCTGGATGGGCCTTGATCTATAGCTCCTCCCCAGCTCCCAGAAAAGCCCCAGGAACTTGGCTAATATTTTTTTAGTTCTTTTATTATATTCATAGACTGAGCATTCTGGTAGGGGCCCTCAAAGTCATATGTCCTGCCTCCTGGCTCTAAGCAGGACTGAATTTAAATAATTTTCTTCAGATAACTGTCTTCTTTGCTTTTTTTTCCTTAATATCCCCAAAGAAGCAGCTACTGTAGCATCTCTTGGGAAGGCTTTCCTGCATTTCTCTTGCTGTTGGCCAAGAAAGTTTAGGTCACTCTCCTGCAGAGCCACTGGACCTAGAGAAAAGACCAGCCTGAGAATTCTCCCCACTGCCCCAGCCAGCGTTGAGTGCACGTGGCCTTGTGTCATCTTTGCCCAGGAATAAGAGGGCCTCTTGAAGCTGTTGTACAGAGTTTTTATATGTTACGTGTTAGCGTCGGGTTTAATCCTCAGATCTTTGATTCCTGTTTCAGGCACTATCTAGCCATTTGAAAGCATTGGAGCAGAACTAGAGGCAGCTCTGGTGGCAGGAGGAGAGGGCAGCGAGTGTGAAGAGGAAGTTGAGGGGGGAACAGGGAGTCGTTTATGGCCATCTGCCTTGCAAATAACTGGAAGTACTAGTCCACAGATGCATCTCACCGGTACGCCCCTTCCATGTGCATGGATAGTGGGAAAACCCTGGCCAGCATATTTCTCCATAAATTCCCAGCCAGAGAGACCTTCTCTGCAAGCCTTGTTTGAATGCAATATTTTAAAACTGATGATGCCTACCAGGAGACCACGAGCATGTGAGCTCCTCAAGAGAAGGAGGTGATATTTACAGCTTGTCCTCTTTTTTTAAAGAGAAACCACTTTGAGGATAAGAAGGGTTGGGCGTTCTTGAGGCTCAAGCGCCTGAGCCCTCAGAACACAAGCTTTCCCAACACTTTTTCCTTCTTCTCCTGTGTGTTCAGAGAGCTGGGGACAGTGTCCCTACTCTGAATGCCAGCTGCAGGGCTCACCATAACAGAATGGAAGAGTTGAAAGGGATCCACAAATTCAGCTTGTTCAGACTTCTCACATTCCAGAGGAGGAGATGAAAACCAGAACTACAAAGGGCTCTGGGGGCAGGGACAGGCCTTAGCCACCCTCTGCCGTTTTCAGGGCTCTTTGTCTTGACACCTCCTACCCCATGGCCTTCAGCAGCTCACGATAGAGCTGGGACTAGTATTTGAGTCTCTTGATTCCAGCTCGGTGCTTTTATTCTTTTTTTTAACCCCTGGAGCTCCATGCTTTCTCTGCAGCCTGTAGGCCAGGACACAACTTAGTGGCAGGCAGAAGAATGAAACACCAGTGTAACAATTTTAAAGAGGACAGGATGAACCTCCATCCCAAAATCATGCTCCCACCAGTCTGTCACTGATGCTTGACCTTCCACCATTAGAGATTCATTCTTTTGCAATTTGGAGGTGAGGCAGTCTTCCAGAGTCTCCTCTTGAAATGCAAACCCCTCTGGGAAGGCTATCGATAGCTGATAGCTAATAGACTACAAGGGTTGTTTCTCTAAGAGAGATGATATCTGATGGTGGTGGTGGTGGTGATATGGAGGGGAAGCCAGGGCAGAGGGATTTTGGAACTCGTTGAAGTAGGAAGACAGAGTTGGGACTGGTATGAGAATAGGTCCACCCTAGTGTAGATATCCCATAAATGCTACTACCTACATGCCCAACTAAATATATGACAGAACATGACCCAGAGGCATTGGTGGGAAATTCCCTTCACAAGGCGTGAGCAAATGTTTAGAACCCCAAATGTTTGGAACCCCAAAGGGAAAGACAGAGATGCCCACACCCATCTGCCATCAGAGGACACCGAGACCAATGCTGTCTATGTATTGGGCATCAAGACTCGATTGGAGATAGGTACCCTCCACTCCCCCAAGGCTTCATTTGCATGAATTGAACTGCGTGAGCACTTCATCTATGGCTAAGGAAAGGAGGCATTGATATTACTATTTTGTGAATGGGAGGCAGGGGAAGAAGAGACAGAGGCGACGGAGGGGATGGTGCAAGATCTTTATTCTACCCTGGCACTGGGCTTTGTGCCCTTGCAGAGGAAGGGAAGGGTTCGGGCCAGAAACAGAAAGGGCTGTTTCTCCAAGAGGATTGATGAGGCTCAAAGCACAAGGAGTGCACTTGGAGCCTCGTCAGATCTGCTCCTGCTTCTGCATAATGTCTGGAAGTTGCTGGATGTGCTGGGAGACAGCAGCCCTGGCACAACCATCAGCATCTTCATGAGGGACATAGTCAACATGGGCAACAACAAGCCTCCTGAAAGCAACCTCAAGGTTATTGGACATTGACTAAGGGAGCCAAAGATGATGAAGACTCAATGTGAGTACATATGACGTGGTCCTACAGGGTCTCCCAGAAGCCCTTGGCAGGGCCTTTTCAGGAGGAGGAGCTGGTAAAGGATTTCCTGTCACAAGAGAGGTCGAGAAGAGGAACTTTGGGCAATTAGTGCCTGGTTATCCTGGAGTTCCTCTTACGTCATTCAAACCCTGCCTGAGATGCCAACAGGCAAAAATGAACTGTGATCCCAGAGCCAGGGAAGGGAGCCCTTGGCCCTGCTTGGAGAAAGTCTGGTGGCTCCCTGCTCCACCTCCCTCCTTCTCACCCACTCAGATTTAGGCTATGATTCTTGGGAAGTTTGTTCCAAACTCAGCCTGGGAGTCGACAGCAACAAGAGTAGTTTCAGGGACTCCATTATCCAACCAGGAGAAGGAAGGAGAAGTCCAACCTTGTCTTAACTAACTTGAGATAAAATGAAGCAGAAGGAAAGGACAAGATTTGCTCAGAGCCTCCCAGCCTGAAAGCATGATCTGAACCTTCCAGGTCCTGGTTTATGGACCAGGAGGAAAAGATACAGACATAGATTTGTTTAAAAAAGAAAAGAAAATGCCATCTTTGCAGGCTGGAAAGAAGGCAGGGCATATATGCACAGCTGCTCTCATACCCTTCTCCCCTTCCTCCTTTATCCACCTGCCAGATGCTGGATCTTTCCTTCTTTCCTCCCTTCCTTCCTTCCTCCCTCCCGTCCTTCTTTCCTTCCTTCCTTCCTGTGGTTAATCCCACATTTGCTCAGGACGGATTAACTAAGTCCTACTGTAGCTGTATGGCAGATTTGGCCACTGCATAAACTGAGTTTTCCAGAAGTTACCAAAAAAAGCAGTGTCCTCCGTATCTGCAAATATGGTGTGCAGCCCAGAGCGACACCACTTAGAGCAGTTACTAAGCAGATGTGACAGAGAGCTGCAGCAAGAAGACAGGTTGATAGGTGCCGGTTAGATGGACTTGCCCTGTCTAGAGCCATTGCCAGCTTGACAGATCCTCTGGCCTCTGGGATGGGGCGTGCGTTCTGCGCTTGTCCTCATGCCCGAGTCTGACACAGCAGCAGGTGCAGCTTTCCTGAGTTAAGTCGGTCACATCCAGGCAAACGCCACCTGCCATCACACCCGTTTATTGAGGTCTACAACGAACCTGCTTCTGGGTCAGGCACTTTGCAACGACCCTGAGCAGTAGATTTTACCAGGCCTACCTCTTTTTGCAGGTGGGAAATTTGGGGCTCAGAGAAGTGAAGCGATGTGCCTGAAGTCACCGAGCTAAAATGTCATAATCTGGATCTAAAAGCAGGTCAGTGCAGCACGGAGGTCTGTGCTCCTTCCCCCGGCGGAGTCGAGGAGGCACCGGCTTTACCAGACTTCAGTCCCTTACCTGCTGTGTGACTTGAGCAAGCTCTCTAACCTTTCTGAGCTGTCCTTTCCTGATCCATACAACAGGGATAACAGGACAGCCGGTATCCGGGGCTGGTGCGAGGATTCAGTGGGGTGAAGTGTGCACTTAGCACGGTGCCTGGCCTGGAGTGGGCTCTTGGCCTGCAGTCACTGTTCTGAGGTCACCAGGCTCCCTTCCCATCTGTGAAGCCCTGGGAGAGAAGAACCACATCCCCAGGAGACAGCTCTTAGCTTTGCCAGCAGCATTTCCATCCCACGAGGGGGAAGCCCTTCCCTCTGGAAGCCACAGCTGCATTTGAATTACATGGATACCTGGATGGTCCAAGACAGTGAAGCCACTCTTCTCTTGGGAGATTTTAAAACATCACCTAACCTTTATGTTGTTTTTCCTGTGGAATAACTTGAACAATCCTTGGCCCTGAGAGGTGTGCTAGGATGATCATTGATTTTTGTTTTCCCACAGGTGAATTAGCCACAAAGGGAGCTGCTCCTGGTAAGAGGAGGACTCCGCTGCCTTCTCCAGCAACCCAGCTGGCTGCTTTCTGGACCACCATCCACGGCCATCATTGTGTACTGTGGGACAGCACGTTAATTTAAATATGTTTTGAAGCCAAGAATCATTAGACAGGTAGAAATTCGATTTGCAAGTATCTGGATACATAAAATGAGTCAAAGAGAAGCGACTTTTGGGTAATCTGGTCATTTGCATTATTCATGCGTTGACATGGATCATTGAGAGCTGATGGGTTATGCTGACTACAGCCAAGTGACCTGCATTGTCAAGAAATTCATTGGCTCCCTCACTGACCTCTGGCCCCTGACAAGCGTCGGGAAATCAAGTAATGACTATTCACAGTGGCTGCTGCCTTTGAGGCTGCTAGAGTCCAACAGGACTCTTTAAAGACAATGGAACTCCTTTTGACCTCTGGAAAGCCCTCCCTTGGCCCGGAGCTGGAGTGAAGGTTGTAATGCACCTTACCTATGGGCCTCCCTTGCAAATCTCTGACCTGGCAGGAGGGTAACTTCCCATTCAGTCTCTGTCACCAGTGGAGGGAGAGTGCTTCTCCCAGGCCTCGTTTTGGCCATCAGAGTGGAAGTTTGGTTTGAGATGCACATGACAGCTGTGGTTGGGGGTGATTAGAATCATAATTCACACTGTGCATAAAATGACAAAGAAGAATGGGCATGGAGGGCGCTCATCTCATGCAAAGCCCTTCTTTCAAAGAAAAGGAAACCAGCCCAGAGAGGTCAAGTGACTTTCTCAAGGCTACCCAACTCTTAATGACAGAGCTGGGCTGGGGCACAGGCCCATGAACCCCGGCAGGGATGCTCTTCCTCACCTCATGCGACGTCTCTATCTCATATGGGTGGACGTGGTCTTCAAGGAACAGATGTGGGAAGGAAACTCACTTTCATTGGAGCGCCAGTTCCTAGGAACCATGTTAGACCCTTCCTCCACGTTGGCTCTTTTATTCTCAAGCCCCTCCATTTTTATGCAGATGGTGAGGTCATCTTGCTGACTCTCCTGCTCCCAGGCTTTGCCAAATGTCTCCTCCCTCTCCCGGCTTCCTCCCCTGGCTTCTTTCACACTTTGAAACACTCGAATGGTAGGTTTTAAGTGGTAAGGTTTCCTTGAGTTAGGGAGTAGCGGGTGGGTAACATCTTATGGGCAAGTCTGAACATAGCAAATATTGTTTTAAAAGGGAGCCAAGTAAGATGCTTCTGGGAAGTGGAGAGTGTGGTTTTCCAATTAGAAACGGTACAAGCAGCAATGGCATACTGCTGTCACTCCAGGCTCTCCTCAGCCACAGCCTTCGGAAGTGAGGGGAATTGAGGGTGGCCCCACAGGCCTGAGTATCCTTTGTGGCCCTTCCATTTGAGCGACAGGTAACTGATACCGATGTTTTTTATCTTCATTGTTTTTCAGACCGCAGCACTCTTGGTAACATCAAATTCATGCCCTGCTGCCCAGCAGTCGGAAGTGCTCTGGTTTCCCTCCAGGAAAAATAGCCCACATCCCAGCATCTCTCATGAGCCCTTTTGCAGGCCTCATAAAGCCCTTGGTGTGGAAACACCTTTGAAACAAGGATTGTGTTTTATTTCATGGATCCTCCTCCTCCAGTGCCTACGCCAGGGCTTGGAATGCAGTGGACGGTTTTGCATCTGACGCTGGAGCAGGGAAGCAGACAGAGGTCAGGTTTTGCCTTCCAAGGGTTCAGGCTACAATCTGAGAAATCAAATTTTTGTCAGGATCCTGCAATATATATTAAAATGATACCACTTTTGGGAAACTATCATTGGAAATAAAAGCTCCTGCTCGTAAGGGTATACTGTAAAAGAACATTTATTGCAATATTGCTTAGAGGGACAGGAAAGTTGAAACAACTTGAAAGTCCATCAATAGGGTGCTGGTTTAAAAAAGTATGGTTTAGCCATACAGTGAAACATTATTCAACTTTTAAAAATAAAGACTTAGACTTACATGTAATAATCTGAAAAGAAGTCTTATAATACACTGTTTAATGACAAAAGCAAGTTGCTGAGTAATGTATATAATAAGATTCCACTTCTATACAACATATACCAATGGTGCACACGTACAGGTGTGTTAAATACATACATTTGTGTGAGCGAAAAAATGGACGACACAGAGTAAAATGTTAATATTACCCTAGGGGGTGAAGTTTTAGATTAAAAAAAAAACTAACAGAGCTGAAAGCTTTTAAAAACCCTCTGGGAAGAGAAGAAAGAGATCAAGGTGGTTAAATGGTCCGGAAAGTAAACAGATGGAATCAAGCACTGCTTTGTTCAGCCACCTCGGCTCATTGTGAACTTTCAGGCAGGGCTGCCCCTGAATCAGCAGAGACCAGCCCTGCACTAGGGCAGATCATAATGTGCAAAGCCCCAAGTGACCTGCATACATAATACATTTGGGAGGCCAAGGCTGCACAACTTCTCATCTATGAAAGTTTGGGAGGCACATAAGAACTTTGTGTCTTGATAAAGCATGTGTCCCCAGCCTTGCTTGATTGGAGGCTGCCTTGCTTCCAGTGCAGGCCCTGCCCATATTAACAGATACTTTTGCAAGGCCTACCTGACCGTCAAGTGTTGATTATAGCTGTATTTAACCTATAAGAGCCAATCCGTCTGACCCCTGATAGTACCTGAATCCATAAGCAACTCTCCCTGGAAGATGCATCGTCAGGGTAGGGATGTGCTTCTTCATTGTTTAGTCCAGAATGCCTAGCACAGTGCTTGGCTCATGGTAGTTGCTGTATAAGGGCTAATGGAAGAAAGTGTGTATTGAATTATCGCACCAGATAGACTGAATTGATTTCTAGCTGGCTTTGGAGGACTCAGGAGAGATTTTCCAGAAAAGCGTGAACCTTTATGAAAGATTTGAAAAGAAGGAAAGTGGTGGAGTAACTTCCACCCAGAAGAAAAAGCTAATTTCCGTTGTCACAGCATTTTAGCAAGAATGTTTTAGTATCTTTAGGGCTCTGCTACCATATCACCTCTTCCCCCTTCTCCAAAGAAGTTTGGGTTCCACCACAGGCCGTTGAGAAAAGGTTTAGATGTCTTTTGGGTCCTTCTCACCCTGAGAGAAAGATAGGTAACAATAGTCTAGTATTCCACTTTTTGGAGGTATAAAAGAGTAAAGATTAAGACATTAACGCAGAACTACTGAGAAAATGCCTCCTAAATATTGTTAGAATAAACAATCATACCAAACAGGATCATATCCAGCACAAAACCAAAACGAATTGATTTAATCAGACGTTATCAGAACAAGGAAGAAATAGTATTCCGGTTTTAATGGCAAAAAGCCCCATAAAACTCAAATTACTTTGCAGGCACTGGTGGCACTCTTGCAAGTTGTTCTTTGGAATATAGTTTAAGAAATAACGGGCCTTGACTTAGGGAGAATTAGGACTGCAGAGGCTTTTGTGCGGGAGAAGCACCCAGGTGTGGGGCTGCCTGGAGGCTTAGCCAGGTAGCTGACTGCTGCAGCCTTGGCTTGGCTCCCATTTGGCCCAGAAAACACTAAGAACGCTGCCGGGTTAGCTGCCACGAGGTGATGATGGATAACGGCTGTGGCCTGATTCTTGAGGAGCCATGGATTCACTGCAGCGTGTCTCAGCCATATGTGAGCCCTGGCCACGTGTGATGTTCCCCTAGGAGGAGGAGGAGAGATGCCACATGACATGTCTTATGCATCTCCTTTTATTGCAGCAACCACGTCTGAACAAGTCAGAGTCTATGCTTTCAGACAGTATGGTCTGCAGGTTAGAGAAACTGCATCCTGATTCCTGGGCACCGAGTTTCAGGAGGCAGCAAAGGAAGTGTTGGTTGACTTCTGAAGCTAAACTATCACACAGAGTCTTCCCCTTCTGGAGGGCTCAGAGGTGAAATAGGAGACAATTATAGAGTTGCAGCACGGGGTGGATGGAACCTTGGAGACCTTGCTCAACTTTCTAGGGTTGGCAGCTCTGCTGCAACAGCTATGCCAAGCAACTAGTCTAAATGAACCCTCCAGCAACAGGAAACTCACTTTCTCTGTGGCATCCCATAAAGCTGGATAACTTTTCCTCCCCAAGAGTCTCATTTCAACCTCTGCATGCTAGCTCAACCATCGCCCAAATTCACTCTCTCCAGAACCTCTTGACTCTCGTGAACCTCCATGTTAGAGATAGACCTTTCTATAATGTGGGGTTCTTCTAGTTTTGGGAGGCCCTTCCTATAACTTAAGGACCTTCTTTCTCTGAAGGTCTTTTTTATCTCCTCCATATATCCTTTTCTCCAATTGTCCTCAACCATGACTTCCCATTAGAATCACCCGGGACTTAACCGAATCCTGATGCCTAGCCATCACTCAATCATCCTCTCGGGGGTGGAACCAAAGCGCTGCTATTTTTAAAGCTCCCCAGATGATTCCACTGCGCAGCCAAGGTTGAGAATCACTGTCTTGTTCCAAGACCCTGGGAAATCTCTTGAAGGTCATGCTATGGAATAAGGTTCCAATCCTGACTCCAGCACTTGGGCAGTTCTCTGTGTTTTTGTGTCCCCATGTGACATGTGGGGACAATGACAGTACCTACCTCAAAAAGTTGTTGAAATAACTGAACTAAGTCTAGGAGAGTCTCTGGCATGTAAGTGCTCCAGAAAGTGTAACTCAGAGCCTAAGACGGGCTAGCAAGTGGTAACACAACGTTTGTGCTCTTACCACGAGCTTGGCATTGTTCTAAGCACTTTACACGTACTATTCAATACATTTTCTTGCGCTGAAGATCTAGTGTAAGAAAAATGACATAAGCAAAACGTGTCTTCAGGACCTCTTTACCTGAAGACATTTTGTCCCAAATGACCCATTTAATTCATGCCCTAGTGAACTCCCTGTGCCCCTTGTCATTTTGTATGTCTTCTTGCCTTCCATTCAAATCCCTTCCAAAGCTCTGCTACAAAAGTTCCTTACATTTCAAAGCTTTCGGGCTGACTAAATTAAGAGCTCCTCATTGGTCAGCCCAATATCTTTTAATGGGCTAGGCATATAAGAGAAGCCCAGTGAGTTCTTTGTGGACTGACTAAATTAATTGACCTTGTAAAAGACTAAGCTAAAACCTATTTATGCAAAAGAGATGGAAAAAGACCGAATTCCTGTGAATGGTGGGGATGGTGAGAAAATAGTACTATTAAATGCCTACTATGTGCTAGGCACTTTTCATGTATCGTAAATTTTCACAACCAAGGAGATGGGTGTTCAGGTAAGGTGATACTGTGTAACAAATCACCCCAAAACTTAGTCTCTTAAAGTAGCAATTATTTTGCTTGTGAATTTGTAATAAAGTGGGAGCATGACAGGGACAACTTCTCTCTGCTCCAACATAGCTCAGCAGAGGACTTTTAAAACAGCTCATTCATGTCCTCCAGCCCTTATGGAACCATGCTGGTGGCTTGAGCTCCTCACAGCCCCAGGATGGCTCTAATTTTGATGGGCCGGAGTAGAAAACTCTTGCCATGAGAATGCAGCTCTCCATCTCAGCCTCTCTGCTCCCCATTCCGAGGGGATCCGTGTCTGTGCTTGGGGAGAAGCCAAGCCAAGCAAAAGATTTCAACAGAGAACGGAGGAAACACACCCACTGAGGTTCTCATAGCAACATAATCACGCACAGGCAGCAGCCTATTTCGGTGGGAGCTTGTCTCAGCTCCCCTCCTCCCTGGTTAGTCACAGAATGGATGTACTGCACAGGCAGAAGCAGTGTGCAGTGGGGTGGGGGAGAGTGCTGGACTGAAAGGAGGCTGGGGAGCCACTCTCAGATGCTCCCTCAGCTGGCTGAAGGATCATGGACAAATGTCCTCCTTTCTCTGATCTCAGGGTCCTTATTCGTAAAATGAGAGATTGGACCAAAGAGCTCTGAGATCTTTTCCTTTCTGATTTTCTTTGACTGTGCAAGTACAGAGACTGTTTTGGTAGGGGCTCAGATGTTTCAGAATCTTTTGTCTCTGAGAAAGATGCTTAGAGAAAATGGGGTTCAAGAGGGTAACAGGCCTTCAGATTCATCTCATTTATCCCCATACCACTTTCTGCACGTTGGCAGGATGTGAAGGGGAAGGAAAATGGTGTTGGCAAAGACTCAGCTCACTTACCCCCAACACTAATCCAGGTCTGTAGTCTGAGAAAGGAAAAGGTTAAGGTCATTCTTTCATTTAGATTTACTCCTTCCTCAACACACACACATACACATGCACACGCACGCACACACACACACACACTCTCGCCCATTAACGCAAGCCTCTTGCCCATCCTCTTTTCACTCTTCTTACTCTCCTTCCCCCCTCTCCTCTCCCTCCTCCACTGATTGCAATATATCCTCTCTTTCCCCTAGGACCAGGTGATGGAGGCATTTTTAGATTCTGGCCCATTTCTTCAATGGACTCTGGGGTTAGTTGAGGACATTCAGGCTCACAGTTCTTGGCTGTCAAAGGTGATGTTAAAAAACGAACAGGGCATGCATGCAGGACTGAGCTCCCTAGGTAAGTACAGGGATGCAGTGAAGAGAGCCAGGATGCTCTAGGAGCATCTTTTAGGTCCCCTCCTTGACTTGTGGGCTGAAGGCTTGAAAGTGCAGAGCTGTCTTTGAAGGAGGCAGACTGAGTGGCCAGTTGTAATGGGAGAGACAGAGTGGGGTCCCCCCACCCTTGTTCTATCTCCCAGCAGCCTGACAGATGGCCAGTAAGACAGAGATAAAGAAGCTCTCAAAGTGAAGACAGGAATGCATTGTATAAAAATTCACACCCTCTGCTGCCGCCCAAACTCCCTTAAAAAAGGATCGAGAGAATCCTAATGGGTACGTGACATCCTCCCCCTCTCCCATAAAAGGGACTTCAAAATCTGGTGGTGATGGGGGAGGGGTGAGGAGGGAGAAGAGAAATGTGTGGGCAGGGGGCTGCCAGGAAGACTGGGACAGGGGAGCAGGCTGCAAGCTCATCCGTTTGACTTTCTCCCACCTCTTTCCCAAGCCACCTCTGCTTGAACCTTAGCCCCACCCTCTCAGCCTGAGAGAGGCCCGGATAGGGGGAGTAGGAGAAAAGAAGCGAGAATGCTATCGCACTAAGCCCTAGAATTGAAGGAGTTAAGGACCCTCCCTCATCCAGACGCCCACCCATTCACTACCCAAACCCCAAACCGTAATTCGCCAAGGAAGGATCCAGGAATTGGCAGAGGAGCAGGAGAGTTGGGGGTGGGGTGGGGGCGAGGTAACCGTGCCCAATCTTGCCCAGCGCTTGTCCTGTTGTGGGGCGGTGGGGGTGGGGGGCGCCGCACACCCGGGTCTAAGAACCTGCAAGAGCCCAGCTCCCGCGCCTCCCGCGTGGCCCTGCAGCGTCCGCGCAGCCCTTGCCCGCGCGCAAGTTGTCCACGGCGCCCAAGCGTGGAGAGAGTGGAGGCGGCCGAGAGACCCTCGGAGCCTGGGGGAGGGGGCGGGCCCGGGGGTTGCTGGGGGCCCTCGGTCTGCGCCCAGCCGCCGCCTGCTCGGCCGAACCTCCTACCCCGCCCCCACTCACCCGGCTCAGCCCCTAGGAGAGACGCGCAGGAAGCGTGTTGCTTCGCCCAGCCGAACGGCAGAAGTTGAGAGGAGTTGGCGGCTGCCTCCGGCCGGCCGGACTTTGCGAGCAGCCAGGAAGGAGACGCCGCCACCGCCGCCGCGGAGCCTTCGGGGCTGCCTCCCTCCTGCTCAGCCCGCAGCGCGGGTGGAGAGGGGCGGGGAGGGGGTCGGGTGCGCGAGAACTTGAAACTGTGTGAAGGAATCCGAAGCAGATGAGAAGGAAGGAAAATAAAACAAAGTGGAGACTGCAGAAAAGACTCAACCGTGGTCGATTGTATCGGCTGACGCTCCAGCGGAGGGGCTGGGTTGGGTTTTTTTTTTCCCTCCCATTCTCTCTCTTTCTCTCTCTCTTTTAAAGCTACACCGGCTCTCTCTTTCTCTACTATCTCTGTATCACCAAACCCTTGCTGGCTCTTATGGGCATGAAACACTCCTCCCGCTGCCTGCTCCTAAGGAGGAAAATGGCGGAGAACGCAGCCGAGAACACCGAGGTAAGGAGGAGAGGGGGCCGGGGCTCTCGGCGACCCCGGCACCCACCCCGGACCACCGCGCCGCCGCCGTCGCTGCCGCCGCCACCGCCGCCGCCGCTCAGCACCTAGTGCCAAACTTTCCCCAGCTCCATCCCGCTTGCTTCTGCCGGCCGTGCGTGTGTGTGTGTGTGTGTGTGTGTGTGTGTGTTGGGGTGGGGGGAAGACAGTGCATGTCTCAGGTCCCCTCCCTCTTGAAAATGCGAAAGAGTAGCTCTCACCCCATCTCCTTCTCCTGCCACCCGCTGCTCTCTTCTCTTTCCCCCAAGTCCCAAACCCTGGGCAGCCGCGCTCCCTCGCCCTCTCCTCTGGGCTCCGTTAGGGCTCTAGAGTCCCCGCTTTGTGCAGAGCTCGATGGGTGATCCTGGGGCCAGGTCTGCTCCCTGCGGTGTCTTGACCATCTCCGGCCGCTGCCTCGGCTTTACCCTTCAAGCGCGAGTCAGTCCCCTAGCTCTCGGTCCCCGCAGCACCGCGGGAGCTCCCGGCCGCGGGGGCCGAGCCGGTGGTGAGACTTCGGCACCCTCAACAGACCCTCCCGCCCAGATCCGGGTCGGGGAGAGGTCTGCAATCCTCCAATGTTAGAGCCGCCTCGGGGGCGCTAAACTCGCGGAGGGAGCACTAGCCGCGGCCACCTTCAGGACCAGGGACAGCGCCCGCTCCCGCCGCAGCCGGGCCCGCGCGGGCGGGGGGGGCTGCACGCCGCCGGCGGCAGCGAGAAACGGTCTGCAGCCGCCGTCCCGCAAGCAGCCTTTGAGGAGGTCGCTCTAGCTCCGTACATCGCGCTCTTGCCCTCCACCTTCGGCAGCCCAATAGCTGCCCTTTCTCTTCCCTCAAGTTGGCCCTGAGCCGCAAAGAGCCCTGCTGGGTTTTGCGTCCCAACGCTCGAAGCTGTGTTCCCTGGCCTCGCACTGACCCTGCTGTCGTTAAGACCGGACTAGTCTGTAGGCTCTGATCACCTGTGGTCACGAAGGGGATCAGCGTGGGCAGCCCCCTTACCTTCCTGGAGATAGGGTCCGCCGAAGTGGGGGCGGAGTGGGCTATGTGTGTGAAGATCATCCCTTACTCGGTGGCAGGAAAAAGACAGAGAGCGAACTCCGGGCTCTATTAATAGCCGGTGTCTGGTGGGGCTGCCGTACATTTCACATATGGTTACCCATATGCAGCGTGGGGCGGGGATGGAGGTGTGGCGCGGGGATTGTCCCTCTGTCTTGCCGGAATGCAAAAAGGTGCAGAGACCCTTCCTGATCTTCTTGCCTCCGGATCTTAACTGCAGCTAACCCCTACCCCACAGCGTAGGCAGCAAAGCTTTTTAAAATCCCCGTTCTCCGAGAGACTAGAAGCAGCATGCATCTGGCAAGTGTCGATTTCAAAACAAACACGATCTGGGGCTTGAAAACAGTGGGACATTCAGTAGCTAATGCCATCTCCTTGAGTTAGGGCAAAGCCAGCATGCAGGCGGTCCCCTTGCCACTTCCTCTTCCCACCCTCCGCCGGAGAGCAGACATTAGGAATGATGTGTAGTGCAAGGCGCTTAGCCTCACAGCAGAGAGCTAGCCTTACCCATCCCTGGGCCCTCTGTCTCTGATCGCCCACCAGCCAAAGAGGTTTCTAAAAATAACTCAGAGCCAAGGCTGCACTTGTGTCAAGTGTTGGACTAGCCGGCACGTAGCAGTCCTTGCAGCCAGGTGGCTGGAGCGCTGGAAACAGGAAACAACCCTCCCCCTCCGCCCCGCCCCCCCCAGCCCTCCGCCCCGCGTCAGGTTTCTAAAAAAAAGTTCTCGTTGGTCTCCAGCCACCCCCCGCACCCCTCCCCCGACCCGCCCCCCGAAGCTGTTGTGCGAGGTCTGCGTGCAGACCCCTGCCAGGTTCCGCAGTGTGCAGCAGCGGTGGCTGAGCTCCCCACCTCGGCCGGGGTTAAAGGCGTCCGGAGCAGGCAGAGCGACGCGCGCCAGGCTATTTTTACTTGCTTCCCCCGCGGCTCCGCGCTCCCCCCTCTCAGCAGTTGCACACGCCAGCTCTGCTCAAGGCATCAATGAAAACAGCAGTAGAGGCGGCCGAGCTCCTGCTAGCAAAAAAACCGCGTTGTCGCACGCTCGGCACAAAGGCAGCAGCGGGGAGGGGCTGATCCAGCTGGAGCTCCTTGGAGCTGAGTGAGTCTGGGGGTTTACTCCTTAGCGAGTCCCTTGGAGAAGGGGAGGAACTCAGACTTGGTCAAACGTGCCCAATGGAGGCATCCAGGCAGCATGACAATCACTTGGTTTTTCTCCAGGAACTGGCTGTTTTTAGAATGAGGCAGGACTAGAGGAGTACTTCCAAAAGCGGGGTCTTGTGGGTTTGCCTGCATTTCTGGTGCAGAGAGAGGCAAGGATGCCTCTGTGGGGGGGGGGGGGGGTGTGGGGGGGGTGTACGTGGGTGTTGATGATGGTAGTGGTCCTTGTTTTTAATTCAACACATCTTTATCAAATACTAACTGTGCCAGGAATAATTAGGTATCTTCATCCAAAGATGAAGACGACCAAGCCCCTGCTCTCAGGGAACTCACAGTCTGGTGGACAGTAGCGCCCGATAATCTGGATAATTCTGTAGCACCTTTTCCTGGCTTTTGTTGGTGTTGTTTGTCAGTGCTTTACCTCATTTCATCCTCCCAATAATCCTGTGATATTAGCACAGGTTAGGACTCATTTTCTATCGTCATTTTATAGGTGAGGTCACTGAGGCTGAGAGGTCCAGTGATTCCTAAAAGGTGCCTGTGTGACTAGGGCAGCCTTCGGAACACAGATTGCCCCCACTTCTCCTTCCTTGCCCTTGCCCTACTCTCGCTACTTCTGAAAAGATGCCACATGTGGATGGGAGTAGGTGAGGCATGGGGAGGAGAGGGGCACTCTGCGAGGGAGAGAGGCAGTGTTGGAGGTAGGTAAAGATGACGGGAGAAGGTCTTCTTTCACAAGGTAAAGATAGGGAAAACTATTGCACTCGTTAGGCAGGAAGCAGAAAGTGAAGCGCGAAACTACTGACGCCGTGGGCAGAGCCTCACTCAACACGTGAGGTTCAGTGCTGGGGCAGTGGGGTCAGGGGACCAGGCCTGGTGGCACCGTGGCCCTGGAAGGCCCTGGGGGCACTCTCCAGCCACTTTGACCTCAGTCCCCTTGTGCGCTAACTTGAGCAGAGTCTCATTAGGGTACAGGGTGAGTGCAGGATACCAGGAGGTGCTGGGACTGCCCTTGCTTGGTGAACATGAAGCAAGGCCAGCTCCGTTTACCCTTTCTCAGCTCCCTCAGACAGCCTGCTCCTCTTCAGCTAAGGGCAGCATCACTCCTGGTCAGCCTTCACTCCTTCTCGCCTTTCTCACGCGTCGTCAGAGACCTTCTGATGTGGCCTGCTGCAATGTCTGCAAAGCCTGCAGTCCACCCTGCTTTTCAGCCCACTATCCTCCTCCCCTCTGCCTTGACCAAGGCAGTAGCCTCTCAGCTGTTGGTCCTCTCCTCTAATCCAGCCTCGTTACCACTATTGATGGGAAGGGCTGTCAGAAGCGCAAATGATCAGACATCCCTTTAAAAAGGTACCGTGTTGCCCTATTGCTAAGAGGATACTGAATAGAGACCGATTTCCTTGGCATAGTGTACAAGGCACTTTAATTCTCGCCTCGTGCAATTCTCTGTACAGACCACTGACATCATGCTAAATGCTTTTGTGCATGCTCTTCCCTCTGCCTCTGCTGCTCTTTCCCCCTTCTTCTCTCTGGAAAAAAAAAATCTTCCTGCAAGACCCAACTCAAAGGCCACTTCCTCCGGGTAGCCTTCCCAGACCTGCCGTTTATCCTCCACCCCCCGGGAGAGTGCTGGCTCCTTCTCCTTCTTATGTGTTGCTAAAGCCTCTCACTTTTCCTATCACAAGATAGTTGGCTTTTTGTATGTCTATTTCTCCAGTTAGATAATGAAATTTTGGGCGGTATACTCTGTTCTTAACACTGTGCCTGACGCACAGTAAATAATAAACGGGAATAATAAGTGTTGGCTGAATTGATTCATGTGATATGAGTGAACGCACTCATGAGCCTCCTGGGTTTTAGTCACTCATGGCTTTCTGAAAACTGGGCTTCCTGTCTCCCTCCCCTCTGCTACTCTTATGTTATTGTGGACCTTTAAAACTCAAAATGAGTCAAGATTCTGGGAGTCCAGATGCTGCAGCAACTCAAAGCACGGGTCCCTTTTGATTGTGCATGTACCTATTCACTACTGGGTCGCACTGACTGTTCCTCTGGGTGCTTGTCTGAACAGCAGATAAATGGATTCATCACGATGCCCGGCTCTAAACCCTGGGGGATGATGGACCCTTCTGAGCTGCTGCTGGCTTTACTGAGTCTTGGTGAAAGCCTGATGGATTATTTACAGTGATGCCTCCCTGACTGGGGCCTGAGTTTCTCAAAGCAGAGCCCCCAGAGTGGGAAAACAGTTTTAGCCGAAGAGTCATTTTGGAGACTGTCCTTTGAATGTTGTATTGACTTGTTGGCCCGGGGAGAGGGAATCATTATGGACTGGGAGAAATCCAGCCATAGGCCGTCAGGGTTGGGGCGCCATGAGCCCTGGCCTGTGAGTTATGGGGAGAGCTGCGCCGACTGCTGATATGGTGTATGGTGGTTTTGGCTAATGGGGCCTTCTCCTCAGGAGTTCCTTTCAGCTATAGTGTGTGGTCCTATGCACAACGGTCAGGGAATTGAGGAGGAAGAGGGCAAGAAGAGGCAGGACCCAGGCCCACTTCTCCAATAGTCTGCATCCACATGTCTTTCTGAACAGTGTGGGAGCTAACTAATCGTGTAGGCTCTGGGGCCAAACGATCTGGATTTACTCTGAACTTACTAGATGTGCTGTTCTGTTGAACAAGTTGTTCAACCTCTCTGGGCTTCATAAGGCTGTTGTGATGATTAAATGAATTAATTCATGCACAGAGTTGAGAACATGGTGAGTTCTCGGTAAGCATTTATGATTATAATCCTGCTAGATTTTAAGAGTCTTGCCAAAAAAAGTGCAGACTGGATGGACTCTCCCAATTCCTTGTTTCTCCAGCTGTAATGATCCATAAACCACAGTCCAGATCAATTTTTTTTCTCCCTCAGCAAATGCTGATTTCAGTCCTTAAGGGAGCTCAGGAGAATTAGGAAGATACCCACTTTTTTTTTCTCCCTAGGAAAGTTGGCTTTTCAGAGAGTCCTAAATAGGCTTTTGGCTGTTACGGAGGGTGAAACACAACACTCCCGTCTCCAGTTCAGGAGTGGGTTTCCTTTCCTCCTCTCTGCTAACTGCAACGCGAAGTGATTATCACATACCAGTGTGGAACGTGCAAAACTCTGTAAAGACAGCGCTTACACCTTGGAGTCTCCTGTGCCAGCGGGAAAAAATGGGCATCACGACAATACAGGAACTGCCAGGGTAACTGGAAGCGGACAGTGTGGTACGAGAAGCAGGCGTTGTTGTTCCGTTGTGAACTGACTTGGTGAGAGGATGGAGCACACAGGCAGGTAGCGACCTCCCGGAAGTCCCTTTGCCGTGTCTGAGGCTGAGCACGCCTACACAGCCATGGACACGCTGTCGGATGCCTGGTCGCTGGTTACAAAGCTTGGGAGAAGGCGCTTTCCCCAAACTCCTGTGAGTCTCAGGGGCACGAAGCTCTTCCTTGAGACTGAGCTTCATGGCTTCTGCTGCTATCCCGGTCACCTTTGCTTGTGTTGTCCTAACAGGAAATGAAAACGGGCTGGTTGTCTTTGCATTTGGGGCTGTGTCAGGGCTGTCTCACCTTGTTTACTAGTTTTGTTCTAAATGATTCCCCCTCTTTCCGTGATGTTCCGCATTAGCCGGCCTGACAAGAATGCCGGGAGAGGAGCGTTTGAGATTTGCTTCTTCACTGTTATCCAGCCCACTGGACATTTCACACGTAAGATGGCTTTTCTACTTCACTTGTTAGAATTCCCTCAAGCATCACAGCTTTCCTCAGATTTGTCATGGGTGACCCAGAAGTAAAGATCTCTTTTTAAAGTGTAATTTTATAAGAGCAAACAGGTTGATGTGCACATTTTCATAAAGTTATAGAATCTTAGAGAGGATGGAAACTCAAATCATTTGAACTGAGAGATGGAAGAACTTGCCCAACAGCACAGGACTCTTCAGTGTCAGCGTTGAGACCATGTTTCTTCGCCGGTCAATTCCATTTAGAGCTCCTTTAATTTTGTATGTGTGTGTGTGTGTGAGGAAGATTGGCCCTGAGCTAACATCTGTTGCCAATCTTTTCTTTTTGCTGAGGAAGACTGTTGCTGAGCTAACGTCTTTGCCCATCTTCCTCTACTTTATGTGGGACGCTGCCACAGCACGGCTTGATGAGTGGTGCTAGGTCTGTGCCTGGGATCTGAACCTGTGAACCCCACGTCACTGAAGCAGAGCTTGTGAGCTTAACCACTACACCACCAGGCCACCCCCTATACCTCCTTTAAGTGTAGCTTCTGATTTATTGTTTTTATTTTTTGTGCTAATTTTCTAGTATATCCTGATATATAGTATCTAACGTCAGGGTTTCCCTACATAAGATCTAAGAATTGTGCGTAACA